CTAACCTGTATCTTTCGGCCAATATTGATAGGACCCAGGCGTCTGTCACACTTCTGACCCAGACAGGATAAAAGAGATGCAGTCTTCCTCCTGTAATTCCTGGCTGGGCCGGCACACGTTCAGAAGTTTTTCCCTGGCTTAGTTCCTCTTCCTCTGGAAGATTTTTGCTGAGTGTTTTTCCAATTGGATCTGAAATACTCGTTCCCAGGTTTATATGCCCTGCTTTCACGAAAGGCACGGTCTTTATATCGTCTATCTTTCCATGCAGTAGAACCATATTTTCTGACTTGCGGAAGAAAGGCTTTTCTCCCATCTGCTGCTTTATGGATAGTTTCATCCAAGACCTTTCCAAATAGGAGATCACCTTGAAACGGAAGAGCACACAAGGACGCTTTAGAGGCGTAGTCTGCTCCCGAGGAGTGCAGCCATAATGCTCTTCTTGCTGCTATAGACAAGCCCATGCTTTTTGCCACCATTCTGGTAACATCCAGGGATGCTTCAGAGCAAAACTCTGTCGCCAACTTCAGATCTCTCCGAACTGCTTTGGCGATATCCTCCTCTAAGTTGTCTAGCCACACTTTGAAGACTCTTGACAGCGTTGTTAATGCTACTGTTAGATGTAGCGCAGATCCTAACGCCAGGTATGACTTTATCAGACTGGAATCTAACCTTTTCTCCATAGGTTCTCTCAAATAAGCCGTGGAGTCAATAGGAAGGTCTTTTTTGCCATATGTATAACTGCAGCATCAATCTTGGGTACAGCATTCCAGGTTTTGCAATCTTCTTTAGCATACGGATATAATCTGAATGCTTTGTTTTTCAACGTCGCTTTTCTCTCAGGTTTCTGCCATTCTTGGGAAATTATCTCTTTTATTGTAGAGTGTACCGGAAAGGTAGGTCTATTAGCTCTCAAATCCTCAAAATATCTATCAGATTCCTTTATTGCAAATTCTTCTTCTGGGAATCTCAGGGTCTCTTATATTATGTTGATCAATTTATCAACAGATTTCAAATCCAGATTTCTGGAGGCATAGTTAACTTCACCTTCCTCTTCGTCCGACATATCCTCCATCTCCATACTATCACTTGACTCAGAGGAGATTTCTTCCCTTCTCAAGCGTTTAGATGAGGACATCTTGCTTGTGGATTTAAACCCTTCTGCAATTGCCTCTGTAATCCATATTTTCAGTTCTGTTTGTGGAGACTTTCTTCCTTCAGCGGCTTCTGTCAGACAATCTTGACATAAGTTTCTTCCATTGGGTGCAATTTGATTGCAGTTAACACACCTATTTGTTTTTTCCTTATGCTTCCTTGGTGATTCCTCTTTTGGATTACTCGGGCTGTAAAAAAGGCCATTTTAACAATAATATATTTTTTGGCCCATAGTGGCACTCTTTTACCCCCCTTTTAAAAGATAAACGTATATGAGGCTTTAAACACCAAAAACTGTTCCAAACTTCAGCCAGAGACTTCAAAACTTCACCAGAGCGTTTTTACATTGGATTCCGTTTTTTAAAATTTTGGCGCGATATCGCTTTAAGAGCCCGGCGGTTCGCGCATGCGCAATAGAAATTTCACAACGCCGCTACTGTGCATGCCCCGCCCTCCGAACCCGGAAGTATCCCCCGGCCGGTGAAAACAAGCAAGCAGAGAACTCTGCAAGCCTCCAATATGAAAATACTAGAAAACTAAACACTGAATCTATTCTACAATGAGTTTAGGGTAAGACCAATGATTTTTTTAGTCACTTACTCAGCTTCTTTCTGCCACAATCTCTGAGGGGGTTATTGATACTTAAAGGGGAATTTTTAAGGATACATCGACCCCACATCATTGTAGATTTATTTAAAAACAGCCCTGTTTTCCATGAAGAGGTACATATACTAAAATGTACCTTAACTCAGTTCGTCCTGCTTTTGCAGGCTGATTACTAAGTTCTTCAGATAAAGATAGGTTGAACTTTATCTGGTAAGAACCCATGGTACACATGGGAAGGTGGCCTCAAAAGAAAATTTAGTATAGGATATAATTCCTGTTTGTCCTGCTAAGGACAGAAAAAAAGACTGTGGGTTAGAGGGAGGAGGGACCTTTTATACCTACAGTCTGGTTATAATTGATTAATAGTTTCCTGTCCTGTTCCTGTTAGGGGCAGAGCTAACCCATTAGTGATGCTGCCATGAATGGCCAGGAATAATGAGTTTCAAGGTTAAACTTGATGGACTTTAGTCTTTTTTCAACCTCGACTACTATGTAACTATGTAATATATAAAATAAGTTAAATAACCTGCTTATAGGTATTAGTAAGAAAACTAATGACATTGGTAACAATGCAGCTTCCTAAAAATACAAACAAGATTTCAAAATAATGATTGTATGTGGAGTGGAGTATTTACATAAAATAAGTACTATACAGTATATGTTTGTGATGTACCATAACACCTAAAATAATCCATGATAAGTACTGATTACTATAACACTTCAAGTACCATAACCATTACAGCTATCTGCAGTGGTTATGCTGTGATAAATGCCCCAACACCTTTTTTGTAAAGAGTCACAGCCAGGAGTTCCTCAGCAGGAACGTTTATTTGCTCTCCTGTTTTTGTAATATCCTTGATCCACACTAGGAGTTGATGTGTCTGTGTGTTTATATCTAATGTGTAAAACCAAATAGCTACTTAGTTGAGTTGAATAAAGTTTTATTTTTTTCCTTAAATGATACTCTAGGCACCAAAACAAAGTGTTTTAGTGCCTAAATGGCTGAGAAATTAGCATTAGGAATGCAGGGGCATGCTCGACGCACCAAAACTGCTTAATTAAAGGAACACTCCACTGCCCAAATACAAAATAAATAAAAATCACTATTTAGTATATATACCCCAAATGAAAGTTTGCATGCATTTATCTAAAATCTGCTTGCAAAACCTGCAGTTATCTTGTCTGCTCTATTTGAAAGCTCTCCCCTTCTAACCCAGCCCAGACTTTCTGTGGTTGTCCAATCACAGACTTCCCAATACAGCTCAATGATAAGTCTTTGTAAGTCAGGTGCTCTGGGCAATTGCTGCCTCTTAGGGTTAGCTGCATTGAGCTAACAAAAACAGGAAGTTACATTACCTATTGTCTGCTTGAAAGCCAAGGGTGTGTTACACACTCTTCACACATAAAGCTTTTCAGAAATTGTTTGGGATCTGGGGCGATAATGTAAGCTAAAGTTGTTTTAGTGCAGATATTCAACACAACTACATACATACACACTCCTGCATTCACATAAACATTTACCAAAACTCCATACGTATACACCCGGGGTAGACAACCTTTGGCACTCCAGGTGCTGTATACTACATTGTGGCGGAACCAACCTTGCCACTGGAGGAGCCTGGTCGCCCGCCTCCTGCCACTGGACTATGGCCCCATGTTTAACACTGTTCTTTTTCCTTGCAGAAAGGCTGGTTCGTGCCTCTCTGCGGACTGTTAAAGCCATACTACCCCAGATAGCTATGCCATGGAGCCCAGCCGTATACTGAAAGACTGTATGAAAGACTTTGGCTCCATGGCGATTGAACTGTATGTATGTGATCTGAGCGCCATCCGATAGTAATGGTCGCTCAGATCTAAGCTATCTGGGGATAGGTAGAATGTGTATGTTCTATGTGATAAATGTAACAGTATGTAATTTTATGTCTTTTATTGTCCTTTGTCTGCCATGCGCTTAATGGAGTTTTGCCTCTGTCCTTGGAGATAATTGGATTACTTCCCAATTATCTCCAGGACAGAGAGGAGGGATTGTGATGCATTGTGAGATTGTAACCTTGTGATTGGTCAATGTCCAATATGTTTCCCAGTCTTCCATCTGGTCCCCTTGGGGAGTGTCCACTAGGTGGGAGACCTGCATAAAAGCCGGGCAGGTAGCCCCAGTAAATCAGTTCTGCTTGACCCTCAAACGAAGTGTTGTCTCGTTCTTGGGGGGAATTGGATTGTATGCTGTTACAGTGTGACTGCCAGAAGTGTAAACTGTTCGTATGTTTTTCCTGTTTGGCTGTTTACAGCATTCGTGTGTTTCCTGTTCGGGAGTTTGGAGCATTCCCCTGGTTCCAGTTCGGGAGATTGGTGAATTCATGTGTTTGCAGTTCGGGAGATTGGTGATTGCAGTAGCTGTCGGCGCATCTGAAAAGGGGAATATCGCCTAAACAGTTTTTAACCTCTTGTGTGCAAAACGGTCCGTTACATACATCTCCCATGATACTTTGCCAACATTATGGTTATAAGAGTTTTATGGAAGATGTAGTTAACATCTGGGGTGTCAAAGGTCACCTAAGAATATGTCATAATTGACATTGAAAACCTGAGCACACAAGTTGGAAATGCAGAATTTATTTCAGGAACCAGTACAGCAATGTTTTGGCTCAATACCATCTGTGTGCCACTATCCATCAAGTGGCAACTTTCAATAAGTGCCCTGAATACTAGGATTTTACCAAGGGAACTCAGCATCTTCAATTCTTCCACACACCTAGACTAATGTAAACTAATCTGGCATCCCTCTACTCTCATCCACAGGTAATCTCTGGCTCTGATCCCAGTTAACCCCTGCAACACTGTCTGTCTCACCCCTGCACCCCACGTATTTAGGTAATCTAAGATCCCAGTTAACCCCTGCAATGCTGTATGTCTCCCAAGGTTCCATTCTCGGCCCCCTACTATTTACATTATTTATAAATGATCTGTCCAATGTCTGCAAATCCTCAAATGTACACATGTAGGCTCATTTTCCTGTCCGCTCGCACCTCCCACGCCTCCCCGCTCTGTCAGTCCCTGCATTGGCTTCCAGTTAGATATAGGGCTCAATTTAAAATTCTAGTGGTTGCTTACAAGTCCCTACATAATGCTTCTCCAACCTACCTATCCTCCCTAATACACAAGTATGTCCCGTCGAGGCCCCGACGCTCTGCCAAAGACCTACGTATACCCTCTGTCCATACTCCCACCTCTAATGCTCTCCTCCAATATTTCTCCAGGGCTGCACCTCTTCTGTGGAACTCTCACCCAGTCTCCATTCATTCAAAAAAATCATTGAAAACTCATTTCTTCAGGAAAGCATATCAATTAAACTGTTAGCAGGTTTTTATCCCCACCCCCCATGACTCCTCTCCTGCAACTGTCAAAATTACCTACTAAGCCCTCAGTGAATACTTTTCTAACAACCTACTTTGTACCCCTACTTTTACCCTTTGTGTCACTATACCCCACTCCCTCTAGAATGTAAGCTCATTGAGCAGGGCCCTCCACCTCTCTGTTCCTGTATGTCCAGTTGTCTGGTTACAATTACATGTCTGTTAGTCCACCCATTTTACAGCGCTACAGAATCTGATGATGCTAAATAAATAATAAAAAAATAAGAATAATAGTAATGTACGCAGGCGACACAGTAATCTATGCATGCAAATCCGATCTACAGTAGCTTGAGGCTGTGCTCCAAGACCAGTTTACAGAGGTTGAAAAGTGGATCACAAAAAACAAACTCTTCCTAAACGCTGTGACAATGATCTTTGGAACAGTACCTTAATTACACAAGTTACACAATTCCCACCTATCCATCAAAGTAAATTCAAATAGCACACTGATCGCAGTCCACTCTTTCAAATACTTGGGTATGTTGTTAGACCCCAATCTATCTTTTGGCCTCCACATAGAAAAACTTGCATCTAAACTTTATCCAAAACTAGGTGCCCTGTACAGAAACAAATCCTGCCTAAGCCCTACAGTAAAGGAAAAGATTGTACAGCAAATGCTGATGCCAATCATTGATTATGGGGATGTAGTATATGCACCTGCACCGCAAACCCACTTTAATAAACGTAATACATTGTATAACTCGTTTTGCCGATTTGTGCTACAATGCAATTACAGGACCCACCATTGTGACATGCTAAAAAAAACTAAACTGGCTGTCGCTGGAATCCAGACACCCCTTTCATCTTTCCAGCCTTGTGTTTAAGAGCTTTTCTGGGAACTGTTTTCCCCAGCTGTTCCCACCTCCTATAACCTCCGATCCAGTACCAGCACCTTATTTAGTGTACCTCAGGGGTCAAGTCCTGGGGAATAAAGTGTGGGAACTCACCCAACAACTCCCCCTTCCCCACACACACACACTCACACACACACACACACAGTCACAGACACACACACACACACACACACTTACAGAGACACACACACACACTCACAGACACACACACACAGACACTGTCATGTTTTTTCTTTAACAAATGCCAAAATAAAAATAAGATCCACTCACTTTTTATTTTGAGGCAGTTTCAGCACGGCAGACTGATGTGGCAGCAAATCAGAGAGATAAACTGACAGTCCTTGAAAATAGAAGTTTAGGTGATGTGTACAGGGTTAGTCCATAAGCAATGTCCTTTATCCAGTCCGAGGTCATTCAATAGGAGATCAAGCAGTATTGAAGGAAATTCCAAAAGCAGAGTCAAGGCCAGTCCGAATTAGTTAACCAGGTAATCAAAGATATAGGGGTATGAAGAGGAGATTCAGAAGGGGTCCGGTGATGGAACACATGGTCTCTCTAGGAGTGATCCAAATGATTAGGAAGGAAGTTGATGCAATCAGTCAGATTAACATATTAATTGTCCCCTGAGGTATTGGAAATTGGAGTTTAAATAACCAAGGGGTGTGTACTTTTATGCCGCCCTAAAGGGCCAGTAATAAATGAAATAAAATTCCTGACAGACACACACATATACACTCACAGAAACACACAAATTATTATTATTTTTTGAAATTTTAAAATGTCCACACAGCCTCCCTACCTGGAGAGCTGGCGTGGACCTGTCCCTGGGGTCCAGTGGGGCTTCAGTGAGGCGGGAGCCTGTCTCCCTGTCAGACGCAGCGAGGGAGCTGTGCGGGATGTCTACTGATGCTGGGTGCCAGAATATCACGCAATATTCTGGTTCCCGGCATCAGCAAACGGAGCGCAAGGGAGAAGAGCAGAGAGGACACAGCTCCCTCGCCGCGTCTGACAGGGAGACAGGCGCCCTATGGGGGGGGTGGTCCATCAGCTGGCTCCCCCCATGACAGAGGGAACACAGAGGACATTTGGGGGCGATATTTTTTGCCACCCCCTGAGTGCCTGCAGGAACAACAGGAACGCCGTTCCCACGCGTTCCTGCAGGACTCAAGCCCTGGTCTACCTCAATACAAAAAGAAAGTAGCCCGATCCTCCTTTTGCTACAGAGCATCGCAATTATGGAATGACCTCTCGCACACTTTCAAATCTTCCCCAAGCCTAAAGTACTTTAAGAGATTCCTCTCTACATACCTCAAAACAGAATATACCTGTCATGGTTGATTATATATTTCCTACCTGTTCAATGTTAAATTTTGTGTATATTGTGTATTAATATTGTTTTTGTATTTTATGTATCCTATTGTATCAATGCAATGTTTTGTGGACCCAGGACATACTTAAAAACAAATGAAATCTCAATGTATTTTTACTGATAAAATATTTTATAAATGAATAAATAAATAAATAAATACCTGAGCCTTTATTAAGCTGATTATTTTTATAAATCCCTACTTTGGTACAGCTAAGAGGACTTTTCCTAGTTTCCTAGTGTGTGCATCTACAATTTGGTGAACTACCCCTCATATACACTAACACTCTATACACATACCACTCTGCATTCACACATACAGCAATATTGTACATAAGTAGGCTTGTGAATTCACACTAATACTCCACACAAATCCAAACTTACTACATTCAAAAAATAATGTCACATCTCTAAAATACATCTTTATATTCCTGGTGTGGTGTATGTTTTACTGCTGTGCAACACTGCACTTATACACAATGAGTATTAGACTTGTTTACGTTGAAAAAAATCCGCTGTATGTTGGATTGACTCAGAAAATTTTTGTACAGAAAAACCAATTTGCGAACCAAATCAACCAGAATGAACCAAAAGGGTGTGAAAGTAGTCAAATCAGTGTAGTGCAAAATGTATACATCTTAAAATAGTATGTATATCTTTTGCAGAACACTGATAGTAGCATTGTCGCACCATTTGGTTTACAGATCAAGTGATAAAAGGAAACCAAAAAGGGAGAAAATTGGAAGAGTAGTTAAAGAAAATAACAATCTATATTTATGTATTTATAGTATATATTTATTAAAAATACACTATAGTGTTAGGAATGCATATATTTATTACTAATGCTACAGTCCTGATGCCCCTTCTAATTTCAGTCCTTTTCCCCTGTGTAAATAAAAAATAAAAAAAAACACCTCCTCTTAGTGTTATGTCATTCTTCAGGTGTGAATCCAGGATGACCAGCCAATCCAATGCAATTGCATGCAATGATTCTATATGGAAGACCGTGATGGCACTGCACATGCACACTTGACATCATGGTATGTTAAGGTATGAGAGCCAGGAAGCTCAGTTCCAGCTGTCATACCTGGAGGGCTTGAGCCGTGTCTTTAAGTTACGCTTCCAAGACTTCTAATTACTAAAATATTGACATTAGGGGCCACTAGGAAGGGGGGAATAAATGTAGGATACAGTGTTCCTTTAAATATATAATAAATATATCAAAACAAGGAGTAGAGTCAGCGCTAATCAGGAAGGCAGCAGTCCCAAACAAGGACTCCCTCTAATGTCCCTGGAAATAAATAGACAAAGCAAGAAAATGGGGGATGGGTCTGTGCCACTGTGCGCAACAGATAATGATATTAAGTCCAATGGGATCTATATCGTTGTATCCAAAGTTCTACTTTATAAGATATCCAGAAGATGTCAATGACGTGGAGGATAATCCAAATATATAAAAATAGAAGAGTTCTTACTTACAGTTGACAGAGCTTAATCCAGCTCTGGTGTGAATGGCTTACAGCGGTATTATCCCTGCTTGCAGGATATACGGCAAGTATCCTCTTCTATGTAGTGGCAGGTAACCAAGTTGGAAATAAAAATGGAAACAATAATGGTGCAGTATGTTCCACACATGCAATAAAAGATATAAAATATAATAGATACACTCACATTCGGTAGAGCTTCAGCTAGCTCTAGTTAGTTAGGCGTGCAGCGGTATAATCCCCGCTTGTAGGATATGGGATGAGTGATCTTGATGCGAATATCAGTAGCTCGGAGAGAAGATAAAACAGCGATAGTGCTCTCAATAAAATCTTTGGTGATAAAATAAAATAATAAAATATACTCACAATATATAGGGCAGACTAACTGCACTATGTAACAGCGTAGGTGGTATAATCCCCACCTAGGATTCTTTGGAGTATTATATCCAGGAAATAAAAATAATAAAAGAAGTATACAGTATAAAATATATATAAAAGCCAGGTAGTAGTAAAAGATGATGGTTTCAACGTAAAAATGGCCAAAATCTTTTTATTAACAGTATATAAAAACAGTAAAAGTATCCAAGCGCGTTTTGCCAGTATAAGGCTTTATCAATGGATAGCAAACATTTCAACCTGGCTGGTTAGAATTTATATAGGTATAGAGATAATTTAAAATTGGCGCCAAAATTGTACAACCAATAGTAAAACAGATAATTTTTGCACATACATAACAGCATTTGATGGTAAGAATTCGATAGATGTAGCTTATCTGATGCTTTTAACATAATTGTTTTACAAAAACGAGCGTTATTGGTTAAGAATTAACATGTTTTCGGCTGGATCACGTGACGCGCGTCATAAGCGCGACGTCACTTCCGGCCGCACGGAATTGTGGGGCATGTAGTTATAAAATAAACTACATGTGTGTAAAGCCCTGTATTGGGCTGAAAGGGAAAAGGAGTGGATAGGGAACACTTGGGGAGGGACTTGGGAGGTAAAAATAATGGCGGCAGCCATCTTGGATGGGGAATGTACTATTAAGAAATAACATAATAAGTGGCCATATTACTGGTGGCATATATAAGCACCTCAATAAAGTTTAAAACAATAAAACTACTAATGCATTTAAAGTTAAACATATAGTATCATAGTAAAAGCATAATAAGAACCTAATAATAATAGTAAATAAAATGATATAAAACAAATAAAATGATATTATTAAATAAAATTGAATAAATCAAAGTCTGCATTTAAACCATTAGGGATAAGTGTTTTTAAATTAAAAACGCATTCCATTTCATATTTACCCTTATCCATTTATCCTTACACATGAAAATAGAATCTCTCACACCCAAATTGATTTTATAATTGAAGGTATTAATATAATTTTAAAGAACAATTATTTTTGGTTTTTTAATTGTTTTTAGTTACAAAAACGAGGCACGGCCATGGGGACCAGGTTCGCCCCCAGCTATGCTAACCTCTTTATGGCAGACTGGGAATCCACTGCCATTTGGGGCGAGCATGCCTGGCGGGCGAACTTGGTTACCTATTTTAGATATATAGATGACCTCTTTTTTATTTGGAATGGCCCCGAAGATTCTTTAAAATTATTTATTGATCACCTTAATTGTAACAACAGAGGTATTATTTTATCTTGTGAATACAGTAAAACCACTATTAATTTTTTTAGATCTGGAAATTTTTATCAAAGACGACATTTTAAATACTAAAACTTAAAAAAAAAAAAAGTATGCACGAATACAGCTATTGATCGCTCAAGTTGCCACTACAAACCATGGCTGGAAAGTGCACCTAAAAGTCAATTTTTAAGATTGAGAAGAAATTGCTCTCAAATAGAAGATTTTAATTCACAAGCTGTCTTTTTAAAAAATCAATTTACAGAAAAAAATTATCCATTAGACAATCTTAATAAGACAATAGATGCAGTTAGAACCAAAGAAAGAACAGAACTTCTAAACTATAAAGAAAAAACCTCCGATAACCACTTCAGTCTTCCGATTATTTTTAATTTTAATAATAAAAGTAACCATGTTAAAAAAAATATAAATAAACACTGGCACTTATTACAACATGATGATACTCTTAAGCAAATCATACCAGAAAGACCAAACATGTTTTCAGAGGAGCCCCTAGGTTGAAATCCATTTTAACTTCCAACTTTACTAAAGAAAGTACAAAGAAATCACAATCCTGTTTTTTACCCAACACTAAAGGGTTCTTTAAATGCAAACGCTGCAAAGTTTGTAAATGTACTGATCAGTCGGTCAAACCTAAAACCACACATTTCCAATCTAATAAAACCAATATAACATATAATATTAAAGATTTTATTACGTGTACTACTAAAAATGGAATCTACCTCCTAGAATACCCATGTGGGCTCCAATACGTGGGTATGACCACAAGAAGTCTCAAAACACGATTAGGAGAACATTGCCAAAATATTATTAATGGATGCCAAAATCATACTGTGTCTAAACATTTTACTATCCATAATAATGATCCTGGTCTTTTAAAATGTATCGGCATAAAAAAATGCATTATTCCATGGAGAGGAGGCAATATCAAAAACATTTTAGGTAAATGTGAAATGGAATGGGTTTTTAATTTAAAAACACTTATCCCTAATGGTTTAAATGCAGACTTTGATTTATTCAATTTTATTTAATAATATCATTTTATTTGTTTTATATCATTTTATTTACTATTATTATTAGGTTCTTAATATGTTTTTACTATGATACTATATGTTTAACTTTAAATGCATTAGTAGTTTTATTGTTTTAAACTTTATTGAGGTGCTTATATATGCCACCAGTAATATGGCCACTTATTATGTTATTTCTTAAGAGTACATTCCCCATCCAAGATGGCCGCCGCCATTATTTTTACCTCCCAAGTCCCTCCCCAAGTGTTCCCTAACCACTCCTTTTCCCTTTCAGCCCAATACAGGGCTTTACACACATGTAGTTTATCTTATAACTACATGCCCCACAATTCCGTGCGGCCGGAAGTGATGTCGCGTCATGTGATCCGGCCGAAAACATGTTAATTCTTAACCAATAAAGCTCGTTTTTGTAAAACAATTATGTTAAAAGCATCAGATAAGCTACATCTATCGAATTCTTACCATCAAATGCTGTTATGTATGTGCAAAAATTATCTGTTTTACTATTGGTTGTACAATTTTGGCGCCAATTTTAAATTATCTCTATACCTATATAAATTCTAACCAGCCAGGTTGAAATGTTTGCTATCCATTGATAAAGCCTTATACTGGCAAAACGCGCTTGGATACTTTTACTGTTTTTATATACTGTTAATAAAAAGATTTTGGCCATTTTTACGTTGAAACCATCATCTTTTACTACTACCTGGCTTTTATATATATTTTATACTGTATACTTCTTTTATTATTTTTATTTCCTGGATATAATACTCCAAAGAATCCTAGGTGGGGATTATACCACCTACGCTGTTACATAGAGCAGTTAGTCTGCCCTATATATTGTGAGTATATTTTATTATTTTATTTTATCACCAAAGATTTTATTGAGAGCACTATCGCTGTTTTATCTTCTCTCCGAGCTACTGATATTCGCATCAAGATCACTCATCCCATATCCTACAAGCGGGGATTATACCGCTGCACGCCTAACTAACTAGAGCTAGCTGAAGCTCTACCGAATGTGAGTGTATCTATTATATTTTATATCTTTTATCGCATGTGTGGAACATACTGCACCATTATTGTTTCCATTTTTATTTCCAACTTGGTTATCTGCCACTACATAGAAGAGGATACTTGCCGTATTTCCTGCAAGCGGGGATAATACCGCTGTAAGCCATTCACACCAGAGCTGGATTAAGCTCTGTCAACTGTAAGTAAGAACTCTTCTATTGTTATATATTTGGATTATCCTCCACGTCATTGACATCTTCTGGATATCTGGAACTTTGGATACAACGATATAGATCCCATTGGACTTAATATCATTATCTGTTGTGAACAGTGGCGCAGACCCATCCCCCATTTTCTTGCTTTGTCTATAATTAATATATATATATATATATATATATATATATATATATATATATATATATAATTTAACTGCCCCCCCATTGCTCACTTGATCTGTGAATAAAATCAACATTTATTGAGTGTCCCCTAGACATCAATCATCTTTTGTTCCCACCAATCATCTCTTTTTTTTTTAGCACCATGAGTGGAATCCAGAATCATGGCTGAAAAGGAACATGCTCAGCCATTGTGAATTTGGCTGAATGAAAATTCATTTGTCTGTACGAAATTCCAAAACAAAAATAATTGCTAAATTTCACCTGAAAATGAATGAGCAAATGGACAAATTCAGTTCAGACTAAACAAAAATTTCAGCAGGGCCCAGGTCTAGTGCTTAACAATATGGTAAACTCAGCAAATGGTCATCATCTGAAAGTCCTGCAGGAAATCAATTAGGGCTAATTAGAAGCTCTATCCCAGCTGTGGTTCTTACACGTACCATTTGCAAGCTTGTTAGATAAATCAGTTCATGAAAAACGTGTCAATCATAGGAAAAGTCAAGTGAGCTGCACACCAGTTACTACATTTACTAGAATTCCAACCGATGGACTATTAAATTTTTCCCCCTGTTTTCAGATTTCTTTTCTTGATCAGTTAAGTACAGGCATAATGCAACAAAAATAAAGTGTAAATTGATTTACGAATTTGTTCATTAAATATGAAATTATAGTGAGGCTAAATATTTAGGTATAAACTCGCTGGTTTAGCATAACTTTGCAATTAGGTTTTCTGTTGATGACAATTTAATGAATACACTCTATGCTGCTTTCTGCATAAATTTATGGTGAACCCTACTAACAACAAAACTACTCAGAAATGTTTCCCTTTATAACCCTGCAAATAATTTCCGCAGATGCCAAGTTCACAGATTTCCACTTTCCTGTGTATTTCTTCCTTTTTTTAAGTATGGGTACCACATCTGCTTTGCTCCTATCTTTTGGCACCATGCCAGAATAAAACAGAATTCTCGGAATGCTCAGTCTATTGCTTTATTAAGAGATGTATCAATACTACACAGAATCTTAGGCATGGTAAGAGGTATACAATAATTTATTATCTATAGATATAGATTCTAGTTAATAGGGAGCCCTTAAATTGTAATATATATTTTTCTTCTGAAATTAAATAATTTAAAGAAATATTCCAATCACTACAACAACTACAGCCTTTTGTAACTACAGAGAAAGAAGAAATCAGAGCCAGGCAGATTCCAAGCAAGTTATCAAACTGTTTGCAAGCGGTTTGACTACTTACAATGGAAGGGCACAATAGCAGGCTATAGTGGCCATATGGCTACTGACTGTTTCTTTAATTAGATTTTTAGATTTTATTTTTGAATTAACACCTTTGTAAAAAATATTGCACTAATCCCAGAATTGAGCAACACACATTTATTTTTACAGACGCCCTCATTTTCAGACAGAATGTAATAAAATTTCTTAAGCTATATATTTTTTTCATCAATCTTAAACTGCCATTAGCTTTCTCTACCCACCACTCTTACACAACATCAGCAAATAGATTGTTACAATTCTCATCATTAAAGCTCCCATGCTAATATTTAACTCTCTTTTACCAGCCAGCAAAGTCATGGGATTTCTCTAACAGCGTACATTAAAGTTGGCAACTGAGAAATGGCTTTTGATTTTGCACTGACTCACTTAAGAACAATTAAGAGAGAGAGAGAATAGACATATATAGACAGTGACTTTACAGAGAGTAAAAAAAAAAAAAAAAACATTCCCCAGTAATATCAGGCGTAATCAACAAAAAGTTGAATCAGGTAAATCAGCCAAATTTAATTCTGTCCTTATAGCTGGTGATATTAATTGCTATTCTGTACATCTTACACATGACTCCTTTGCACATTTAGGCTTTCATTATTAATAGCTCACTGCTAATACTAGGGTCACCAAGTTAACTTGATCCACTATGGATGGGACCATACTTCTAAGGCATAGATAATTGCGGTGTCTTGTCCTTTTTCCGATGAACAGCGTCTTGTCATGGAGGAAATCCCATTTTATATTCATAGGGCTAAATGACATCACTCAGAATATTTCTTGATACACTTTGGCAACTTTTCAAAGTGGGTTCTGGATCTTGGATTTCCACACTGCCCTCTATAGCTACAATGAGTTCTCAGAGATGAATGTCTCATTTTAGCTAATCTCTATAAGCATTGTGGATTCATATATGTAACTATCCATTTTGATCTTGTTCCTAGATGATGTTCCTAGATTTCATGTTTACATGCAGTTCCAGGATTTGTAGGATGTACAACCACATAGTCTGTTGTGCATATGGACATGGCAAACTGTGGTTCTCACCCTGAAGTTCATGATAATTACTATTGCACCAAGTGCTACACTTAATAAATCCACAAACTCATTCATTGTCTATTTCAGGGTCTACTTTAGCCACAGGTTATGCTATAAATTTAGGTGTTTAGTTACTTTGCCTGTACTTATTAAAACAGTATGCCAGTTGTAGATACTGAAAAATACTACAACTGGACGGGGAGAATGTCTCGGTTAAAACACTGTTTTGGGAATTCAACACCACTTACTTTCAGTGACCAATCCATTCATGTAGATGCCCTGGGATGTCATTCTAATATGGAAAGTGGGGCTGATGCTACAACTGCTGTGTGGCTCTGTTGTCAGTGTCTATTTTAGCTTATGACTGACAATTAAATCCCAAATGCTTAGACGTGTAACATTTTATCATGCTGTAATGTGATATAGGTGGCACATTAAGGTAATGTTTCTAAACAAAGATCCAGGACATTGCGAAGTGTTGACTTCACATATATAGCACCAGGTGAATTGTGTACAGAATTTTCTCATCAAGTCAGATAGAGATTCAGTCTGCAATGGTTAATATGAGTAGGGACATCAATTTACAAACAGAATGTAAAATAAGGTGCTAAAGGTTGAAGAAATCACTTCAGTGTGTGGTCTAATCAAAAGTCTATAACATATAAATCAATGGCACCCCTTATGTCAAGTATTTAAAAATAACAATCTTTATTTAATGACAAAATATAACATGTATTTCATCTATATACAACTAATGATATACAAAGCATGGATGTAATTCATCTGTACGTAATCACAGTAACTAGGTAATGTGTCTCAGCAGTTATTCTTTTAGTTTCTGTAATTTTTGTATTTTTTTCCATTATGCTTGTATTGCTATTGTTGTTATGTATTTAGATGAATTACATCCGTGCATTCTCTATTGTGATTTGTACATAATTTGATGTATATAGATGAAATGAGTTGTACTTTTTTGTCATTAAATAAGGATGGTTATTTTTATATAGGTGTGCCGTTGATTTACATGTTAAAGATTCAGTCTGCCCAGGTTTCTCAATTTAGTTACCATAAATGTTTCCACTGTGCACAGGATGCCACCTAGTGTGCCCACTGATTTATAATAAACAAGCTAAAATGCCAACATAGATACAAAGAGCTGTCATACACAAAGTGCTGCCATTTATTTAGAATGTTCTCTGCCATTTTGTATAAAAATATATTTTTCCAAGATTGGTAGGCTGTGCAGTAGACTGATATATGATTAGCAGTCTGGGATTTCCAGTCATTTAAAATCTATATTCTATTAGTGGTTGTAAAGCAATGGTTCCAAAACCAGTTATTATGACCCTTCAACCATCCAGGATTTATTCATTTCTAATTTTTATTCCAATGAAGACACTAACAAAACCTGAACTGTTGTTGGGCTATAAAGACTGGTTTGGACTGCTATAGGAACTGCTGTTGTAAAGGGAGCTGGGGTAAGCAGTGGGAATCCTATTGAGGGTGGTTGGAGCTACAAAGAAGGAGGTTGGATTCTACCTGTTATGGCTGCATGAAATGGGAAATAATTAACATGGACTTTTCAAGGGTTCCATGGGATGAAGGAATGAGGAACCTGCATGTAAGAATGAGACAAGATAATAATCAGATTAAAATTAGCATCATTATATTATCCTTATTTAGTGCAAACATTTTCTGCGGTGCTATACTTACATGCACTATTGGGGTTATTTAACAAGACAAGAGGTAAACAAGGCTTTCCCAAAGAAATTTACAGTCTAGGAGGAAATGGTACAGGAAGAGGAAGAAATATGTAATAGACACAGATACAATGAATGTGACATTTGGAGTTATTGGGGATGTACAGAAAAGGATAACATAGGGGAAGAGTGAGGGAGCTATAGTAAACAAACAGAATAGTAATTAATGTGTTAATGACTGTCTAACTCCAAATTAAATGTGCAAGAACAGGTAGTAGAATTCTATTGGTGTAAGGAGTCTATCCCAAAACAGTCCATGTGAATCAGGCACATATATTGTTATGACAGGCGAATTACTGCTCAGATGTATCCTACAGGTTTAACCCTTTCATTTGTTGATGTCTGAGTCATATTTTATAAATGGCAAAGCACAAGCTCATCCATTTTGGACTCAAATCGTTAATAAAGAATAGATTTTTGTTTCCAGAAGATTGACTATTGCTACAGCACCATTTTTGAAAGCATTTCCCTTACTTCGCTAAGTACCACTTCCATTGTCAGTCAGTTGTACATTTTAAGAGGTGCTGCAGCAGCTTGAGTCTAACAGACACACATGCTGATGTGATCTATGTCAGGGGAGAACAGAAGCCAGGCTCCCAGCTTCTTTAGATCTATAAGTACTAGGATGCTTTGCCAGGCTTGATAAAAGCAATAAAAGCCTCTTGAGAGTTGTAGTCCAAAAGCAGCCGATGGTATTCCTTTTGGCAGCCCATGTCATATATGAATGCTATCTAACATCTGGCACTCTGTGAATCCCAGCAGTTACAGCCCATATACAGAGTGCCCCAGAGGGTAAAATCCCAGAGCTGCCAGTTTTAGTAAATTACCTTTCTCAGTAAGATCATTGCATGCACCAAGTGTTAAAAGCGATTAAAGCTATTAATTTTCCAAACACCCCCTCCTCTTCCAATTCAACACCCTCCTCCTCCTCCTCCTCTGTCATAGGCAGCTGGGGGAGCACTGAAAACTGTCACTGCTTTCACTCAGATATGGAGGTCACTTTAAATGCATGCAAAAGTTAGAGACAACATAACACACAAGCATGCATACAAACCCACATATAAATATATAAACACACACACACACACACACACAAAGCATTAAGGTATACACACAGTATATACAGTACATACAAAACAAACAGTCAGAAATACACAATATTCAGACATGCAAACATACATGGATAGATGCATACACACATACAGGCATAAATAGATACACAATATACAGCGATAGATACATAGATAAATATATAGATAATATACAGACACAAGCACAGACTTACATTTACAACATAAAGCTATAAATACACACACACATTTGAATGTAGGCTTACATACACAAACCCATACATATTACCTGTTATCTGGAATGGTAGCTTGTCTCCCCTTTCTGCCCCCACCTGTGCACTATGCAATGAATATGTGCTCTGTATAGATGTATTTGTATTGTTTGGAGAATTAAAGGCATACATTGCATGGTCTCTATTGTTTGATCTGGAGTGCTGGGCACTGCAGTCTGGGAGAAGCAGAAATGAGAGAGATATAGGGAGGGAGGGGGGAGGAGCAGGAGGAGCTAATACAAGCTGCAGCTGATTTTCACCAACACTATCTCCATTCTGCCTAACACACACACATACATATACACATACACCCATACATGCACATTCTCTGTCACTCAGCACAACCATGATTTTACCACCTCCCCAGAAGAAAAGAACTCTTGCAAAACCTGCTTGATCCCTGGGACTATAAATGCCACCTGCATCATCACCTGCATTCTAGAGAGCCACTATCAAGAACAGAAAGGTATAAAAGATACAGCAAAATATATAGAGAGAGATAAAACAACCCAGTTAGGCTCATTAGGGCTTTTGTTACCAACATCCCAGGAAGAGAGTGGGTTGGTGTGGAAAAGCAGCCTTTGTGCCCTCAGCCTTTCCATGCAAGGCTCAAATCTTTAGAGCCATACGACAGAACAGTTCTGCTCTGGTAATCTTCAGTTTGGGGGAGGGGGGCTATGCTGCTCTGAGGGAGAATCTGGACCTCTGCTTGAACCCATGTGCATTTTGCTCAGTGACAGTTTTAAGAAGAAGGTTCTTGATAAGAATCCAGAAGGATACTTGTATCAGTCCAGGGAGTTAAAGGGTTGGATCTCACTGTTAATCAGGTTCCTCTGCTTATTTTGTTCTCACATTCTGTATGCCAACTTCCAGGCAGCACCAACAAGCCTGTAGGTCATGCAGTGCTGCAGAACCCAAGCCAAATGATGAGGATCTGGAGATGAGATAATGAGATCCTTCGCTTTGTCTTTAGAAAAGAAACACATTGATACATTGAATCAGTTTGGTAGCCAGCTGTGTCGACTGAATCAGGAGAAAGCTCAATGGATGGTCATGAATGATATAATCTGGGAATAGGAACTAGGAATCATCATAGTCATCATCATCATCATCAACAACAACCTAAAACCAAAAGAACATTTGGTTCAGACAAGAGGAACGAGAAGAAGACTATATATAATCAGCTATTGATTTCCATATCCATTTAATCTGGCTGTTTTTTTTCATATTATGTCTGCACTCCGAAGGAAATTTGGGGACGATTATCAGGTAGTCACCACTTCATCTAGTGGCACTGGCTTTAATCAAGCTGCTCCAAAAAAGAAGAGGCAGAGGTTTGTGGAAAAGAATGGCAGGTGTAATGTCCAGCATGGGAATCTGGGGAGTGAGACCAGCAGGTATCTTTCTGACCTATTCACAACCCTTGTAGACTTGAAATGGCGTTGGAATCTCTTCATTTTCATCTTAACTTACACAGTAGCTTGGCTCTTCATGGCTTCCATGTGGTGGGTCATTGCCTACATGAGAGGGGACCTCAATAGAGCTCATGATGTGAACTACACGCCTTGTGTGGCCAACGTCTACAACTTTCCATCAGCCTTCCTGTTCTTCATTGAGACAGAAGCCACCATCGGTTATGGCTTCAGATACATCACTGACAAGTGCCCAGAAGGAATTATCCTCTTCCTCTTTCAGTCCATCTTGGGTTCCATAGTTGATGCCTTTTTGATCGGCTGTATGTTCATAAAAATGTCTCAACCCAAAAAGAGAGCAGAGACTCTGATGTTCAGTGAACACGCAGTCATCTCCATGAGGGATGGCAAACTCACTTTAATGTTTAGGGTGGGTAATCTTCGAAACAGCCATATGGTTTCTGCACAGATCCGCTGTAAATTGCTCAAAGTAAGTATTCAATCAAATACATTATTCACTTTATTTTTTATTCAGCTATATGACATAGTATGTAAAGTTATAGCTGTTTGCATCATATAGTTTATAAATGTTTACAGACAAATGCATAATTATATTTGATGTATAACTATTTGCACATACAAATATCTTAATCATAAAAATTTACACTAACAAATTCATAAACATACACACACACACACGCTCAAAGGTACACATTGCAACATTATTTTATTTTATACCATTTCATTTGTGAGAAAAACAAAAATGAAGGTAGGAATGACAGCTGCTCGGCATATTAAATAATTAGCCCAAATGAAATGTTGACATAGCCATGTGCTCTTACTGCCCACTTAATTCTTGTGGTTCCATCACTCCTTGTAGAGAGGGACATTGGCTTGATAAATTCCAAAATTATAATTTTTCTTCTCCTCCATCTAGAGATATTCCTAAGTATATGTAACATCCAAGTAATTTGTATATTTAATTTGAAGTAAGAGACAGTGAGGGTGTGTGTGTTTTTTGTGTGTGTCTGTGTGTGGGTTGTCTCATAATTTTGTATTGCTTTCATATAATGTTAATGCACGATTAAATAACAACATAGAGCCACTTAATGATTGAGAGCACAGCACTTGGAGGAAATATATTACATTATGAATCATTAAAACACACTGATGTGTTCATAATGCACTAACAAAATTTTTTCTCCTACTGTTCCCTATTACTGTTTCCTTTCCTATCCAGGAATAAAACCCTTTATGATATTTGCAGCTGGTCATAGCTACTGCTTTCTGAAGGTTTTGGAGACCAAAGTTAAATTATGGAGAGAGAAAAGATCAGCAAAATTATCCAACTTATTAAACCTAGTCCTAACCTAAATAATGTTAAAATATACTGGTTTAACACACAAGTCATAAGGGAAATTAAATACAAGTTATTTTGTCTGTATCATTTAATGTATGCAACATTCCCATGATGCCATGCAAACATGCAAATCAGCACAAACAACATGGTCTCTCCTGCCTACCATAATCATGGAAGTTCTCTTGACAATGGCCTTCTACTTTAAACACAGCTTCTTTGCCATGGAAGAGGCTAGGATTTAAAGGAACCATTACCATGAATAACAGTAACTCCCCTTCTGGGCCCATGGTTACTAGTGATATAATTTGTATTGTGCATATTATGCAGTGCTTTACAATTATACACAGGGGATATATTATAACAAATATTGAGAGAAACAAGTTGTGAATAGGACCATAGTCAAACCAGTACTGAGAAGATGGGGTAGATGAATGCAGGAGGATGAACCATGTGTCAAAGATACAATGCCTTTATCTTGTGATTGTCATGCATGGAGGCAATGTAGATTGGAAGGATAGAAAGAGCTGAGTGGACTGTCGGTGTATAGGTTATGTGTGGGGAGGTATGAGGACTGTTATAATGAGATAAATTACCCAGTAGGATGGCAATATTTTCTAAAGAGGTGCATTTTTAGTGATGTCTTAAAGGACCGGAGGCTAGGATAAAGTCTAATAGGACGAAGTAGCGCATTCACTAGCAATGGTGCAGTCAATGAGAAGTAAATGAGAATTAGCAGAGGTGGGTCGACAGAGGACAAGATAAGATAATTGGTGCAGTGATTGGAAACTGAGAAGGGGTATGTTTGTGGATTTGTTATGGGCTTTGTTAATGTCAGTAGATTGAATTGGATCCTTAAGAGTAATCAGAGCTAATGTAAGGACTGGCAAAGGTGTGGGGTGTGAATGGAGCAGGGGTGGGTTTTATCAATTCAAATACTAATAAAGTTGTGCTGAGAGCAAAAAAAAAAACAAATCAGAAGCTCCTCTCTGATTTGATGAATTCTAAAAAATTATTTTAAAAAAATCAAACTTGCCATACAGTGAATAAAATATGTATTCTGCTCTTAATGATTGAACCTTTGGTAAAATAGACAAGCCAACCCTCCCAAGTATTGCAGGTAGCTCACCGCCCCTTACCAGAACCAAGTGGATATAAAGGCCTGTGTCCAGTTATTCTTTTTATATTACATGTTTCAAGCAGGGAAAGAACAATAATATGCATTTAGATGATAATGATAATAATAATAATAATATATCATTATATTTGTTTTGCGCTTGAAATCACACTTCCCATTTGTTTAGGGAAGGAAACAATAGGACACATTTAGACAACTGTTTGCCCTATTAATACTCTGTTGCCTTATTTATATTGACCTTCAGTTGTTATACAATTGTCACACTTGAGTAGAGCAGATTTCTCTGCTAGGCAAATGGATTTTCCAAGCATTTCATTCTGCAACAAGCATGTTGATAAGGTAATGTTAAGCAGTCACTCATCAGCACCTTTCAGGTTAAAAAGCCCTGCAGAGCAATCAAAGCATGAATATGGTGTGTGCCACTTATGGGCTGATTTTAATTTAAGCTAGGCTGTAAATATTTAGCTTTCTGCTCACTTATCCAATCAACCTTTTCCCATTAAATCAACAAATATGCATATTTAAAGACATTTAATCAACAATGGCGTGTGTGTTGATGTACATGTATGTACATTTGTTGTACGTGTATATTTATTTGTTTGTGGGTATGTATTTCTGTGTGTAAATGTATGGACATTTTTGTATATTTGGGTATGTTTTATATTTATATACTTGTGCATGTACAAGTTATGTATTTATATGGCTATGTGAGCATGTACATGTGAATATACGTCTGTCTGTGTATATGTATGTGTGTTTGTTAATTATTGAACTATTTTTACTATTATCATTATATAGCACCAATATATCCCCCTGCACTTTGCAATGTTAAAAATGCAATTCTTTTTACAATAAGTAATTGAGGTACAAAATCAATATCAAGTTGGCCGAGCAAAGTCTTGAAGAGGCTCCTACTAAAACAACCTACAATCTAGGTGGAATTGTATATAATTTATAAAATAATTCTATTTAGTGGTTAATTGGCAAAAAAACTCAAGATTTGGTAATTTGACAACCAACTTCCCAGTTTATGTTTATAAATGTAAGTCAGAAAAACTTACTGCAGCTCAGCCAAGTTAGTGCTTTTTTCCCCATATTGACTCATTTGTCGTACCATATAAAATGTATTCGATAACTCTGTA